AGGAACCTCGTTACTGTCCTCCATAGTGGCTGCACTAATTTACATTCCCACCAACAGTGTAGGAGGGTTCCCTGTTCTCCACACCCTCTCCAGTATTTATCTTTAGTGGACTTTTTAATGATGGCCATTCTGACTGGTGTGAGGTGATAACTCATTGTAGTTTTGATTTGCATTTCTCTAACAATTAGTAACATTGAGCATCTTTTTGTGTACTTGTTGGCCATCTGGATGTCTTCTTTGGAGAGATGTCTATTTAGGGCCTCTGCCATATATTTTTATTTAACTAAATTAAGTGAAAACTTCTTGCTGCTATTACTTTAACAGTTCGGGGGAAATAAGACAGACTCTTTGAAATGGCTTTGATTTCTTCATAGTCACTACTTCTCAAAATGTAATATCTTTGTAACACATAACACATTGTCCTACAGTTTAAAATATTTTAAATTATGTATACTTATATATAATATATACTTACATATGTGCAATTTTATATATTTATACTTACTAAATACAGATTATAAAGAGAATCACAAAAATTACACCAAGGTCCAAGTAAACATAGAAATATGAGACACTTCTATTTGAACAAATTTTTGTAATATTTTTAGCTTTTCCTTAGCATTATTTGCTGTATTTTACATTTTAAAATCACGTTGCCCTTACTATGTAGAAATGTTCTCAGTCACTCAAGATGCTACTTAACATAAATTAATTTAACTTGACTTTTAATGACTCAAAGCCTAAAAATTATCTAGTAGCATTCATATTTGGCTTATCACATTTGTCTCTGGGAAAACTTGCAAAAATGAAAAAAATGACCCTTGAAGGCTTGAAAAATTTGACCTATTCCATCCAAAAAATGAAGAAAAAATTTATTAGTTTTAAGTAAAGCCTTTTTGAACAGAATGAAGCAATTAACCCACTGATCTGAAGAATGGGTCAGGAATTATTTCCATAAGCGCTCCAACTCATTGTTGGTTATAGTAGATCTTTGTGTATATAATTTATATTTCATTATTTCAATGCTGAGTAAATTTATTTAGCTTTTATGATTGTGAAAATGTATTACATGTTTCCATATTTGAAGCAAACATACAAAAAAGAGATGTAGGGGTTTAAAAAATATTTGTATTTTAACAAACTTGTGGTTGCTAAGGGGGCGAGGGGTTGGAAGGGATAGACTGGGATTTCAAAATGTAGAAGAGATAAACAAGATTATACTGTATAGCACAGGGAAATATATACAAGCTCTTATGGTAGCTCACAGAGAAAAAAATGTGACAATGTATGTATGTTCATGTATAACTGAAAAATTGTGCTCTACACTGGAATTTGACACAACATTGTAAAATGATTATAAATCAATAAAAAATGTTAAAAAATTTGTATTTTGAAACCTATAATAACAAAAGTTCATGAAATTTTTAAATTAGCAAATTATACACAAAAAAGTTAATGGGGGCTTTTCTTTAGTGGGAAAAAATGTCTGAGCCTGAGGTTAACAGATGAAGCATGATTATCTGACCCCATACAGTAAGAGATAGCTGTAACACATCTTCAGAACTCAGTAAGACCTATTAAATGCATTTCATAATGCTCAGTCTTAGAATCCAGTCGGTGGACGTAAGCACCCACTAGTCAGAAGATTATTCTCTGTTTTAACGTTTGGTCACTGGGGGCTGAAAGACAAATATCCCACTTCCATGAGATACCTAAAAAATGGTGGAACAGAAAAAGCTTCATAAATAATGTTTGCTTTTATCTTGAATAGAAATGAATGAACGTCTTTGTTAATGCATTAAGAAGGAATGGGTTATTTTACTGTCTTCAGTCTGACACTCAGAAACATCTCCAACTGGAATTATTAGTTACTGCTTTCAGCTGATGGCTTTGACATTCCTTTGCTAAATGTCTGCCATCTGTACCCCCTCTTTCCCTCCATTGTTCTTTCCACATTTCAACCAGCCACTCTACTCATCAGAATTCTTTAATAGTTCCCATTACATTTAAGATAAAAATCTGAAGTTTTTTCCATAGTATAAAGGACACTTTAGCCCCTGCCAGCCTCTCTGGTAACAACTATATTTTATCCCCTGAGTTTTATGCTGTACAATATTGAAGGTACCATACTTGCCCCTGGTTTTGCACCTTTACCCATGCAGTTCTTCTCCTGGTTTGAAATGCTCACATTTCACCACTAACAGTGATGGGTTACTTTTGCAAACTCCAACTCATCCCTCAAGTCTCTATTCAGATGCTGTCTTCTGTAGGCTTCTACTCTCATGCTCATTCTTTCTACTTACATTTATTTTGACACAGATCTGCTTTTACTCTGAGTATTTGTGTGTCTCCTGGGTACTAATCTCCCAGGAGGGCAGGAGATTATGCTTTTGTAACCCTGGTTCCTAGAGCAGTATCTGGTATACAGCAGATGGTGAATACATATTTTTGAACAAATGCTAGCTTGCTTTACCAGTTCCAATTAGCTGTTACCAATAACGATGTAGCCTGCTAAACAGTCCTATATTACAGGGCTATGAAAATATGATTGGTATGTTTAATTGTCTTTGCCTCAAATACATGACTTATGTTCCTATATATTTGTAGAAAGTCACCTTTGTATGTTTTTCAGACCTTTATTTAATACTAAAACTAAAAGATTAATTATTGTCGGACTGTTGCTGATACCTTAGTAACTGGCTTGAGTGCTGATTGCTTTTACATAAGTAAAAGAGAAACATGTATAAAGGAAGCTTATATTTCTGGTGATATAAAAATGGCACACATGGAAGATACCAGCAATGCTGATGGATGGAATACAGGCTAAGCCAGTTCAGTCCAGCCTTCTCCACTCCTCTATACTGATATGTTCTTGCATCTTCTTAATCAACTACATGAGGAAAGCTTGTCTTCTACTACTTCTTTATCTTTCATAGTACATCTTTAATGATGAGCCAGAGTAAACTCTCAGCCCACACAATGACTAAATGTGTTTGGTGATTATTCTAGTTTTAATCTTTGAGTTGAGAGAGAATGGTATTTTGCATTTTGATTGTTTATTTAAATTCTTTAGTTCAGGGACTTTGTCTTGGTAGTTGAGGGTAACAAAAGGAAAGTAATTCTAATTAATCTAATAGAATGGACTACTAAATGATTTACTCTGTTGTCTGTATGTATGTTTGTGTGTATTGGAGAGAGCACCGTGACCTTGGGGTTCACCAATCCCTAAATAAAAGAGTTAAAACAGATGGTTTTCAGATGGACTTTAAGGGATTAAAAATACACTTAAAGCCATTACTCTGTCTCTGAGTTTTCTAATAATTTACTAATCAATTAATTATAGCACAAGGTTTATTTTAATAACTTTCTAGATCTATTTTAGTAAGTCATTACATGAACATTCTCCAATACAACGTAATGTAAAGAGGAGACCATAGACACATTCCACATTACATGGTGCTAAGCTTGTTTGATGTAGAATGGGTGGGGTGAGAATTATGGCTAGGTTTCAGTTCCTTTTGTTTTCAAAAAAAAGTATTCATTAATTACAAATATGAATATAAGTTATTTTAAGGTGCTAATTTAAAAGTATTGCAAATATTCATAAAGTAAAAGAAAATTAGTTCTTTGATAGCTCTGTTGCATCAAAGAAAATGATGTATTTTTGGCAATCTGATAATACACTTAGACTATATAAATTGCAATGAAAGATTACATTATGAAAAATGTTTTGGCAATACTTTTTTGCTGTTTAAAATGAAGACTCTACCCTAATAAATGTGTTTTCTTGATTAACTCTTTTTGAGGGTGGTATATATTAAAAAGTTTATAGTCTAAAAATTTATAAAATATCTTGAGAACTTGGTACATTCACAAGTGGAGAAATTTATCTGAAGTTTTTAAAACTGTCAGAGATAAAAGATCTTTTAATTGAAATATAAGCATGCTACTACTAAATTTTGATGAATAAATTATCAAATACTGTTTTTATATAGGAAATGTAAATGGAATATGTGTTCAAAATATGTTTATTTAAAATAAAATTCTTGATAAATTTAAAGAATTTTATTAGAGAAATGTTTGTTTAGGTCTTCTGCTTATTTTTGTATTGGGCTCTTTGTTGTTTTGTTATTGAGTTGTATGAGCTGTTTGTATAATTTGGAAATCAAGCCCTTGTCAGTCTCATCATTTGCTAATATTTTCTCCCCTTCCATAGGTTGTCTTTTCATTTTGTTTAGAGTTTCCTTTGCTGTGTAAAAGCTTCTAAGTGTAGTTAGGTCTCATTTGTTTATTTTTGCTTATATTTCTATTACCTGGGTAGACTGCCCTAGGAGAACATTGTTAAGATTTATGTTAGAGAATGTTTTGCCTATATTTTCTTCTAGATTTATAGTGTTTTGTCTTATGTTTAAGCCTTTAAGCCATTTTGAGTTTATTTTTGTGTATGGTGTGAAGGAGTGTTCTAACTTCGTTAATTTACCTGTGGGTGTCCAGCTTTCCAACACCATTTGCCAAAGAAGCTGTCTTTACTCCATTGTATATTCTTATCTCCTTTGTCAAAGATTAATTGATAGGTATGTGGGTTTACTTTTGAGCTCCCTATTCTGTTCCATTGGTCCATATGTCTGTTTCTGTGCCAACACCATGCTGTTTTGATTACTGTAGCTCTATGTAGTATTGTCTGAAGTCTGGGAAGATTATTCCTCCAGCTTCATTCCTTTTCTTCAGTGTTTTTTTTGGCGATTCTGAGTCTTTTGTGATTCCATATAAATTTTAGGATTATTTGTTCTAATTCTGTGGAAAAATGTCCTGAGTAATTTGACAGGGATCACATTAAATATGCAGATTGCTTTGGGTAGTATGATCATTTTAATAATATTAATTAATTATGCATACTATTAACAAATGATTTCTTCCTTCTTAATAATTTTTGTGTTTTTGTTAACCTATACTTACTATTTAAAGCAATCTTTTGTCTTTTGTTTTCTTTTTTCTTTCAGCTCCTTCAGGTTGGAAGGAATACCTTTATTTGGAGGCATGTCAGTTCATTTTTCTCACTTCAAATTCATCATTATGACTTCTTGAGGCCAGATCTAATTTTGCAGTAGCCAGGAACCTGTCCATCTTGGAGCAGCAAGCCCCTCAACTCTGGAGCACAAATGATCACTGATACAGTCTGCATAAAATCATCTGCCTCTAGTTTGACAGCCATGAGAAGAGCCCTGGGGGCAAAAAAAAGCCACAGCCTTAAATCTCTTCACTCAGAAATTACAAAGAAGATTAAAATAAATAAATAAATGTAAAGGACTGAGCAAGCAAGCCTACAAAACAAACAAAAAACAAACAAAAAACAACCAAAAAATAAAACTAACAAAACCCCAGCTTATTTTACCATGGAAATAAACATTCCTAGTTGTGAACCCAAGAAAATTTATATTCAGTAATTCAGCTAGTGAATTATAAATTGATTTATCATTTGGGAAGGTGAGTATAGAAACAGAAGGTCTCTATAGCTAGAACTACTCAGCATTTCAAAATACGTAGACAAAACAAAAACAAAAACAAAACTGAACAGAGGAACACTGCAGCAATGAACAGTATTAGGATAGAATGTTGCGGTTTGCAGAGAGAGAGAATGTTTGCCGTTTTGTGTATGACCTCAAAGCCATAAGGGAATAAGAGCAGTGTTTTCAATTGCTTGAAAGTTTCTGCATTCAATCCTTCACCCCATATAGGTTGAGAGAGAGGGAGGTCAGTTCTTACTGATTACTTCTCAGTGCTCTTCTACTATTTGCACTGTCACTTCCATTCAGGGTAATGATGTGTGCTGTTATTTGCACAGAGGGTCCCTGGAGTTTTGAGACCACAACAGTTTCATGTAGGAGTCCAAAAAGGAAAGATTTAAGAATTCTGCAGACATTGATTTCTCTGTCTTCTATTAAAAGAAAAAATCAGTTATCTCATAAAAAAGTGGACTCATCTCAGATTACAGAACAACTATAGAATAACAATGAAAAAAGCATCAATGTGGTCAAATGAATGAAAAAGGGATCAAAAGATTTTTTTAGTGAAGATCATTTTATATCATTAACAGCCAAGAAGTTACAAATACAGTTAACTGTACACTAAACATCTGTGTTGAACATCTATTTGTTCTCTTAATTAAGAAAATCATTTGTAATTTGTATTTGACATTTAAGAGTTTTTTATAGCCATTTATCTATGCTTCATGGGAAAATGTACCAAACAGCATTTTCAGTTTATTTTTCTAAATAAATGTGTTGTTTGTATTATTTGTAGTTGCTTATTCAGTTTGGTTTTTGTTACCTGGAACATAAGATTTCTTTGGTCATTGGCAAGCTTTTGTCATAACAGTTCAGAACTAATGGAAGACTGAAATTTCAAATATTTTTGTGGTATAAAATTGTGCTTTCTATTCTCTGAACTCTGAAGAAGAAATGATTTCACCAGAACTTTCTTGTCAAGGCTTATTTTAATATTCTAGTTATACAAACTATCTAGAGTTAGTTTTAATATATTGGGGACATTGCTGGAAAACCGAAAATTTGGGTATTGTATCAATAAGGGTTTCCTCTCATTTCTCTTCCTAGAAATCTGCTCTAGAAGGTAAAAATTAGATTTTTTTTTTCTTTTAGGCCATTCGTCACTCCTAATGAGTCCTCAGTTACAAGCACAGTTTTGCTGAGAACTTCCATCAGTCTATATAAAAATTGTTAACGCTGATTAAGTTCCTGTCTCATCACAGAAAAAAATTCAGAGACAAGATGCAGAGGTGAAGAAAGTAAAGTGGGGATTTATTAGGGGATAGTTCGCTCTCAAGGGGAGAGTGGGCAGGCTCAGGTGAGCAGCTGCGCTGAGTTTTTTGGCAAGTTGTTTACATAGAGTGTAAAAATGAATGGGTGGAATATTCATTGGGGAGGAAAGGGTTTGGGATCTTATTCCCTGATTTTCATCCCATCTACACCTTCCTGAGGGGGAGTCATTTTTGTCCTTATTTAGCCTGGATTAGAAGTGTCATGGCATTGGTGCCTGATGGGTACTTCTAATCTGCGAGGCTAATTTTATTGTAATGAGGGCATAATGAGCAAAAGGTTATATTCAGACACTAGAGACTCCTGCCTTGTCCCACCTTTCTTTGTCGGCCTCCAGGACACTTGTCACCTCAAAATACGTGATTGCTTATCACTATAGAGGTTCCTGCGTTTCTCTGTCTACCCAGGGACCCAGTTGCTTACATGATGTATGTAAATCCTGCATTTGTCCCATGCGTCTCCTTTTTGCCCAATTTCTGCCATTTGGCCTGAGTCCCTCTTTCTCTCCTCATACGTAGCTATCTGCCTGCTCGCGTAAAATGACTCAGCAGTCATACTGGAGCAAAAACAGAATTTTCAGTCAACAGGGGCTTATTGAATGCCTACAGTGTTCAACCTTAATTGTGGCTCATCAGCTGCAGTCAGTATGAGTATTTATGATGAAACAGTTCGCAGCTCAAGTACATTTTTTTCTTTAAACTAAGGTATAACTGACATAACGTTATATTAGCTTCAGGTGTACAATGTAATGATTCGATATTTGCATTTATTGCAAATCAATTACCACAGTAAGTCCAGTTAGCATCTGTCCCCATATTTAGTTACACATTTTTTTCTTGTGATGAGAACTTTCAAGATCAATTCTCCTACCTGCTTTCAAATATGCAGTATAGTATGATTAACTATAGTTATAGTAGTGTTTGTTATGCTCTGGAGTTTGGTCAGGGAGACGAGGGAGGGGAGTGGGTGGTGAAGCAGGATTCCAGCCCTCTGAGGTCTTTGGAAAGAATTATGCTCAGCCCTTAAGTGTTTTAATTAGAAGCCTGACCCTCAGGCTGCAGCTCTGATGGTAAGCTAACAGGTTCATTTCATAGAAAGACTGAGCTCCTGGCTCTGTTGCCTCTTGCTGTGCCCTGGGGGTGGGTGGTCCTTTAAGAATTCTTTCTCCCACAGTTCCCTGGGACCACAAGCACGAGCCCCACTTGCCACCAGAGCCAGGCAATGTAGACGTGTCTCCTGGCGGCAGCCTCCCCAAATTGGGTCACCAGACAGGGATGTAAGCCGCTTTCCGGAACGTACCAGTGAGTTGGGGCCAGGCGGAAGGTGAGTGCAGGCTGCCGACACCTGCCTCCACAGTGGTGTGCGGACCAGAAGCGTGCCCCTCAAGCCGGGAGCGCCAGGTCAGGTAAGGAGGCCTCTTTCTCTGAAAGCCTGTGGATGTGTTTCAGCCCCGTATTTGTGCAGTGCCCCTGGGGGTGGTAACCCATCTAGAATTTTCTCTCTGGTTGTTACTGTCTCTTGGGCCCAGGCTCACAAGTCCCCTAGCCTCCAGAGCCTGGCAAACAAGAAGCGCCCGTGGGCGGCAGCCCTCCCCGCCCCCCCAACCGGGGCACTGGGGCACTGGACGTGTGTAAACGCTCTCCTCTGAGAGAGTCTGGTGCTCTGGAGTCAGGCAGAGGGAGAGTGTGTAGACGGCTTCCACAGGGGAGGAAAAAAAGAAAAAGAAAAGTTTATCGTTAAAAAAAAAAAAAAAATGGCGTCTGCCCGCGGGCAGGGGCAGGGGCGGAGCATATAAGTGGCTCCAGCTGGGGGAGGAAACAAAGCCTTGCGTTAAAAACCTGGCCGGGAAGATGGCGCCTGCTGGGAAGAAGGAGGCGGCGCCCGAGTGGCCGCGGTGCCCACCCGCCAGCAGGCCCCTGGGGGTGTCTCCTCAGGCGGATAATTTAAGGTGAGAAAATGAGCCTCATTCACTTAAGAGTCTGGGAGCTCCTGAGTCGGCTGCCTCTGCGCTGAGCCCTGGGATAGGTGAGTCAGTAAAACTGAAGCCTGTAAGAATCGGTCTTCGTTTGTTTTTTAAAAATTTTAAAGCGAATTTTTGTTTATATTTTGAGGGGGAGTAACTAGTTTTATTGATTTGTTTATTTAATGGTGGTACTGGGGACCGAAACCAGGACTTGTGCCCGCCGGGCATGTGCTTCCTCTGTGTGTTAGTCTTGTGGGTCTCCTGGACGTTGGTTTTCAAAGGAAGATGTTTTGGGGCCTCGTTTCTCAGGTGCAGGTCTTAAAAGTTGGAGTGCCTGAGGTGGGGGTTCAAATTGTTTGCTCCCCAGGGAGAAGCTCATGGTTGAGTTTTCCTCCAGACTGTGGGTCTCTGTACGGAAGGTGGGGTTTACGTTTAGATTGCGTCCCAACTTCTCTCAGGCTTCTTTGCCGGCTTTCTCTCATTAGCCTGGTGCAAACGAGTTGCTCAGGTTTTAGGTTTTCTTCAGAGAAAGTTGTTGAGTATGTGGTTACAGATTCAGCGTGTTTGTGGAAGGAGCTGAGTCTAGAATCTTCTTAACGTCACTGTCTTGTACTGGAACCCCCCACAGTCACAAACAGATTATGTTTAACAACGAAAAGAATCGGTCTTTAGGTTTGTTTCCAAAGTATGATCCGAAACCAAATTCCTGTTATTGTTCTTCACACTTAAATTGATTTACTCTTCGCAATCTCTCTTGGTAGTACTTAGGGTATCCTATAACATAATGAAGAAAATTAGTTTGTCACACATGATTTCAACCCCTGAAAATTAAGACACTGTATACGAAAATAATCCAGCTAGGAATCAAGTTGTCAGTTCCTGTGGGATGTTAGGTATTGAAGTATGGAAACCTGGACTCATTTAAATTCTTTTAAAAATCCATGCTGATTGCTTCAAGCTGTGACTTACTTAAAATTGTAAATAGGGAAGTCAGCTGTTCCCTAAATAACAAAATCCATCAACAATAAATGATAAAAAAAAATAGTTTTCATTTTATGGGTATACGCAGTGATAAGCAGTGCTGTATATGCTGTCGTCTATGGAGAGCCCCTAAAAGATTTTGCAAAGATGTGGCATTATCAGCAGGATAACTCTGGTAGTAATTTATAAAGGGAATTGGAGCTAGACTAGGGAAGATGGGACACAGAGCGGAAAATAAAGTCTAAATTTTCCTTGGATTTAGTTTATTTATACTTTTCAACTTTATATTTACTTTCTAAGTTATTTCAGTTGTCAATCACTGAATCTTTCATCTTCTTCATACTTGAAACTTGCACTTAGAATTCAGTATTAGTTTTCATAGAATCTATTGAACAATCCTCAGTTCCCACTAAGAAGTCCTACTTATGCAGATTTTGAGAAGTGAGAACGCCAATGTAGGTAATCTTCCTGACCACTGCTTTTAGAGTACAGGTGTGTTATATTTATATGCAACTCCGCATCTCTCCTTACTGGCCCCAATTCACATAATTATCAGGTGTACCTGTGTAAGCTAATTCTCTTTATTTACTGGCCAGTCTGAAACATAGACTGTGCTGGGTGCTAGGAAGAAACAGTTTGGGAGAAAAGACACAGGTCCTGTTTTGATAGAGTTGAAAACCTAGTTAGAGAGAAATACATTAATCGTGTAATTTCACTAGTTAACAAAAAATTACAACTATATGAAGTTTTACGAAGAGAGGTATATGGTATGCACGGACCATATGTCCAGTGGACCAAACTCTGAAGGAAGTAAGCTTTGGGCTGAGATCTGAAAGGTAACTAGTTGGTAATGGGGCAAAATCATATACAAAGCAGTTAAAAAAAAAAAAAGAAAAAAAGGAAAGAAAACAAGATGTCAGAACACCTGAAAACACCTATAACAAATGTGAATTTAATTCTTGAAAAGGCTAGATCAGACTGACCCCACTCCTTCCTGGCCCCACAGAGGATTTACTTCTGCACCCAAACAAAGTAATGCAGACAGTTACACAATAAAATGATAGGTTAACATATGTCTGAATGCAAAACATAAGAAAAAGAGGGTCAAAATGAATCTCAAAGAAAGCAGAATTAAAAATAAAAATTAAGAATGGCTCTGGGAACGTTTTTTGTTTATATATGATATACTTCTCAATGAAGATGTAAAAAAAATGCTTCAAGGAGCATCTGTGAATTCATAAAGACTTCAGCAACTTCAGATAGACTAACAGCAAACATTTAAAAATATGTTGGAACCAGTTCATGTAAAACTAGGTTTGCCTGTATGTATGTGTCAGAAAACTCACATTAACAAATAGGAGGCTGTTCAGAACTGACATGGCAACTCCCTAAAATCATCAGGGATCCAGGCTTCTTCCAGTTCTTTGCTCTGACATCCTTATGGTGCAAAACAGTTACCAGAACTCCTGACATGACATGCATATTCCAAGCAGCATGATTAAGAAAGAAAGAA